CTAATAAACTAAAGTTGAGGGGTATTTTTGACCCTTTTCCCTATATTATATAAACTCCCTTAGAAAATAAATATATATTATATATATTATATAATAGAAAAAATGATTTATTATATTATATTATTATATAGAATATTATATAGGGAGTTTATGATGGGACATTGAAATGTCCCATCATAAACTCCCTCTTATATATAAGTAGAATTTGCTGTTAAATTTTTTTTGATCCGTTTTATGTCCTGTCCCACTAAATTTATTTATTGAGTTTTGTTCTACTCACCCCGCCCTATTTAGATACTCCGCTGCCCTGCCCCATTAAGGCTTTGCATTGCGCCGCTTTGTTCTGTTCCGTTTTATCGTCATTCCTAATTTTAACCAATTAGACTTAAAGATATGTGCACAAATTATTAGAGTATTTTTTAGAAAAATATTGAATATTCCAAAGGAGATTTGACTTTTGGACTATCAATTTTCCCAACCCTCGAATTTAGCATCTAACATTCATGCAACATTGAATTTATTGTACCAAGAGGATTTGTAATTACTATACTTTTTCCATGTATTCTCTCTGTCCATTTTTAATTGTCATGTTGTGCTTTTAAAGTTAATTTGACTAATTTTTAAAATTAAATTAGATTACATTAATTCGATTTTTTTTTAACAAAAAATCTAGATATTCAAAAGCTATACGAAAAGTACTATATATTCCATTTTTTTGCATATCAATATGATGAAAAAATATATCGTAAAATGTTAGTCAAAATTATTATCGCTTGACTCTAAAAAAAGAAACTATGACAATTAAAAATGGATGAAGATAATAGTAGTTTATTTTTAAGTAAATTGTTAGGGTATATATATTTCTGTAAAAAATAGTTTAATTACTTTAGTTTAGAGTATGGAACATGCCTTGTTTTTGTTAGTCGGGTACTGGCGGTTGGAAATCTCTATCCAACCCTGTATTTTAAGGACATTCATGAATTAAATGTTAATAATTCACTATTTTTTTAAGTATTCTCAAATTATTATTCTAGAAAATGTAAAGTAATTAAAAACCTCATTAAATAAAGGATAATATAGAGGGGAAATAAAATCCCAACAATCTTCTTAAACTTTGATTTGAATAATTTTTCTTTTAAATTATGAAAAAAATCTGAAAAATTCATTTAACAGGAGTATTATCCTATTTGATTTCAAGTTGGATTCGGAAGGTTCAATAAAGATTCCAACAAATAGATAGCCTCTAATTTTTTTAATTAGTGTTACTTTGACCATATAACTTGGACGTGTTACCTAAATTGATTCAAAACTAATCCATACATAATTTTAACAAACTAACAAACACCCCTTGTTGTTATATAATTAGCACACGCTTAATCTTATTGTTCAAAAATTCATTGAAGGAAATTATTAAACAAAAAGAATATAACAGTATAACAACAAATTATAAATACCTATAGTTTAATTGGGTTACAAAGCTTTGTATCTTAAACTAGATTGTACAAGAGTTTGTGTCAGCACATGCTTAATATATGTTATTCTTTCTATTTCAGTTTATGCGACACAAATGAAATTTAGAGAGTCATTCAAATTTTTATACGATTTTTAAATATCAAGTTGCTAATTATTGTGATTTATAGTACTTCTTAGGTCACTTTCTCTATCTCAATTTATGTGACACCGATAAAATTTTAAGAATCAATCAAATTTTTTATTTATATTTTAAAGTTATTAATTTTATAATTCTCTATATAATTAAAAAAATAAAAATTTAAGTAATGACAATACCTAAATTAACTCCCTGAAAATTGATTAAAATAACTAACTAGAAAAAGTACCTCGAGTAAGATTGTATTAGCAGGAGAATTTTATCACAGTCCCAACAACAAATTCCAAGCTGATCAATATCCAAATAACATTAGTTTTGCATCAAACCAACGAGATACGTGTCTTTCATTTACAAATTCATTTGTAGTTATTAGTTAATCATGATTAGATAATATGTATTTTTACTTTAATACCTTAATCTTTTGTTTTGATATAAATATGAGACATACCCGAATTTAGGGTGAACTGAATATATATATAAATATCTGTGAATCTAATTATTTTTGTGTTTATGAAAAAATTATAATAAAATTTTTAAATTCAAATTCTGAATCCGTTTATAATATAAATTGCTAGTAAATATTTGTCAGTTCCATTCATCATCATAAAAGAGGAATGAAGATGGTGCTTTACTACAACCTCTTCTACATAGGCTCCTCCACTTCTCGAATTGAAAAAGAAAGCTTTTCCAAGCCCGAACAACGGAACAAGATAAAAAAAAACTGATCGCTTTTTACAATAAGAAAATAATTTTCTGTCGGAGCCATGGAAAAAATATTCACTACTACTTACCGTGCATTCGTTCACTCATCTTGCTACTTCGAAATTGTTCAACCAACACGTAGAGTCGAACGTGTCTCTACAATATTGCGTAGGTAAACTGATTATCGTAGGTGACTGTCTCTGGTAGTTTACAAAGGTCTAGGAATGCATTGTGTGTTTGGCCCATGTACATGAGTGCTTCGTATACTTTATACTTTAGACAAAAGGAAAAATTGAAGGAGTAAGAGTAACGTAACAAATCCAAACATCGTTTTTTTTTTTCTACGTAAACGATTAGTAAAAATTCGATTACAAGAAGTGATTGTTCTTGCCAAACTATTTCAGAACAATCTTTATTAAAAGTAATAAATATATAGTTTAAGGGGAGGGATAATATAGTGATAATTGAGGTTGACATTCTTCAGAAGGAGCTAAGTGCTTGTCAAATTTTGTCGGTTAATCATGTTCCCTAAAACACATATAATGTGTAACATAGGGAAAACATGTACTCCTTATTTAGGGATAAATTTCAATTAGAGACCTTAATCCAAGAGAAGTAATTATTTTGTATCCACTAAAACCAGCATCTAAGAAGAGTTTTTCCCATTCCTTTTTAGTTCTCTCTTTGGAAGCATGAGTAATCCTCATTAATAAGTCCATCAAGTGTTGTGATTGAACAAGTTGCTCATTGCTACAATTATCCTCCATTACCATGTCTATGATTATCACTTTTCCTCCATTTTCTTTGCTCGGAATTGACTCTTTACATTTCTTCAGTAAGTTCACACAATTCTCATCACTCCAATTGTGCAAAATCCACTATGAAATAACAATTAATTTATTAGTAAATAATTAGGAATATTTACATTTAGGATTAAACGGGTGTATGTACCTTGAGTAAGATTGCATTAGCATGAGGAATTTTATCAAACATACTCCCAGCAACAAACTCCAAATTCCCAGATCCCTTTCGATCACCTATGACGTGAGGGAGATCAAGCACAATGCATTTCAACCTCTGAAAAGCTCCGGCAATAGCCATCGCCACAGCGCCGGTGCCACCTCCGATGTCCACCAATGACGTCAATCCCTCAAAAACACCCACACAACAATCAGAAATCAACAAATTAGAGATCAATCTCGAATCACTAGCCATTGCATCGTTGAATATGCCATTGAACTTTGGCTCTTCAGCGCAATAATCCCAATGGGATTTCCCATATGCCGTTTCAAAGGCAGTAGAGAGATCGTCACGTAACCAATCACCCATGTAAGCCGCTGTGTTCAGCACAACGGGATGTTGGGCGAAAAGGAAAAATGACCTCTTGCCAGAGAGGTCATTTTCAACAAGGAGACGGCCAACACGGGTAAGTGAATAGCCGTCTCCTTGGTGGTGGTAGTTGAAAAGGCCAAAATCAACTAAAACTCTCATTAGAATCGGGATAAAGGTAATTTTTGAAGGATTCAAATTTGGCAAAGCGATAATAAGGTTAGAAAGAGACATTATTGGATTGGGATTTTTGTGAAGAATATCAGGAATTCCTAATTGAATCGCACATTTTATACATGATGGACGCAAATAACTCAAAATGTGATCCCAACTTTGAGCTTCAGCTTCTATTAGCTGATTAGCACAAATGTTATTGTTATTGAGCATTCTGTTAATTAATTACTGAATAGCTAGAGTTTCATAAGCAAGACTTAATTAATTAAGATGTATGAACTAGTAATATTTTTATAGAGTCCCAGTTGCTTGGAGTTAAGGGATTAATTAATGATGCAAATTTAGGGGGTACTAACTAGGATTAGGTTGAGTTGTGGGCAAAATCAAACTCATTCCGTTCAATCTGCACAATCTGTTTAAGTTTGAGGATTGACTCAGTCATTTACTCGCCCATTTATTAGCTCACCATTTAAATCCATTAAAAATTGGGTTGATATGTAACTCAAATTGAAACATGAGAAATCTTGTCAAAGTATTTTTTTAAAAACTTTTCATTTTCAATTTGTTATATTATTTTATAGCCATAAGAAAGAAAATAATAATTTTATTACATACTAAAATAGTTTAAAAGAATAAATGAGAAATCTTGTCAAAGTATTTTTTTTAAAACTTTTCATTTTCAATTTGTTATATTATATTATAGCCATAAGAAAGAAAATAATAATTTTATTACATACTAAAATAGTTTAAAAGAATAAATAAAACAATCATAAAAGTTGGGTTGGGTTGGATTGAGTCTTTTTGACTCGTTATCTAACTCATTAATTACCTAATCTGTTTTCACCAATACGTTTTGACCAAACAAATTTGGATTGGATTGAATTTTGATCCGATTGTTGTCTTTAACTTATTAAAACCAATCCAAATTTGTCTCAACCCGCACAATTGTGACATGTACCAACCCTACGTATAAAATTCTCTATATGTTTTAAATTAATAGATATTCATATAATACTGGGGTATATTTGGATCCCCCTCCCCCTATTAAAATAACATCATAAATGATAGTTGCTGATTATTTTTTTTGAAAAGTAAAAAAAATAATTAAAAGAACTATTCCACTTATAGTTTAAAAAAATGATGTTAAATTACAATCTATAATAACATATAGTCTAACTTTAATTATAACGAAAGGAACTAGCTAGGTGAAAATTTTATATATGTAATCTGTACTTAATTTACGGTTCATCAATATGTAAAAAAAGTCAATGAGATTAATAATGGGGAAAGGAAACATAGATATTTTATAGTACTATAAGATAGGGTAAATGTCAACTCTTTGAAGTTTGGGGGTATTTGCTTTTTAAATCAAAGTTGAAAGGAAAAAAATGATGTTTATCCATTTGTATTGAATTGGAAAATTTAACTTTAAATATCTAAATATTTTATATAAGAAAAGATTTCATAATAAATAATTAGTTAATTGAAGTCCTGCATGTTAAAAATTTAAAAACTTAAATAATTATTTTCAGTGTCATTTTTATTTTCAAAGAGTAAAAAGATGAACGAATATTTTGTTAAGGTATTCGTGCATATAATATGTAAGAATAATAATACAATTATATAGTACTCTCGTCCACTTTTAATTGTTATTTTTTTTTTTTTAAAGTCAAAAGATAACAATTTTGACTAACATTTTACAAGGTATTTTTTCATCATATTGATATACAAAAAATTCAAATTTATAGTATTTCTCGTATAGTTTTTGAATATCTAAATTTGTCATATAAAATATCAAATTAAAGCAATTTAATTTAATTTCAAAAATTAGTCAAGTTAACTTTCGAAAAACGCAATATAACCATAGACGGAGTATGACTTTGAGCGGCCTATTGGACGGCTCAAAGATTGAGGATTGATACCAGAGGAGGATTTGGTACTACTACCAGTACTAAGATATTTTTCCTTTTTTTTAATTGTTCAGTATTCAAAAATAAATTTGTATTTATCATTTTTAATATATTAAAAAAACTAAAATATTTTTTATTATATTATATTTTTAATATTAATTATTTATTTTTAAATTATTTTTTATAATCTAATATTAAATATTAATTAATAAAAATAATGTATAATAATAGTCATATCAATTACTGTTTTTTTAATAAATGCGTCAAATCAAAATATAATAAATAAAAGTATATAAATATAAAAAGTATTTGATTTCAAGTTTGAATTTGGGAGGTTCTATAAAGATCCCAATAATAGATAGCCCCTAAAACTGATAACCTATTACTTTGACATTACAACTTGGATATGTTTCTATTGCGCACTCAACTATGTACGCCTTCGTTTTATTTTTCTACTATATTAAGAATAATTGTTCAAATCTACTTGTTAAGTTAGAAAATTACGAGATAATTTATTATTTTATAACTATTTTATATCCTTGTTATTAATACAATTCATTTTTCAACATTTAGATGACTTATAATTAACGAAGGTGATAAAATTAAATTATTTTTAAGAAATGTATTTGTCAAGTTAACATAGACAACTAAAGAAGAACAAAGGGAGTACTAATTACTCCTTCTATTCATTTTTACTTGCCCACTTTTCCAAATATAGATTTACACTTTTACTTGTTACTTTAACATATCAAGAAAAGATAAAAAAAATAATTCATGTTTTATCCTTACCATTAATTACTTATTTCCCAAGTTATTATCAAAACCTAATACTAAACATCAATAACAGAGATAATGTTATAAACTATTCATTTTACGTACCCAACTAACAACCTCTAAAATCGTTGTCCTAAAATTTTCTATTCATGAAATTTAAATTCTGAATTAACCTCTAAATATATGGCCATGCGGCATGCCCAACATTTATCGTTATTAGATTAGGATCGGGCATTAATCTCCGCGCTTAGAGTTATATATAATTTTTCCTTACATATACTTTTCAAGGTATGTCATATTTAGTTATAGAAAAAGAATCTAACAGAAAATAGATTTTCTTTTGGCAAAAACCAATTTAGATGATTTGGTTAGATATTAATATTTTAAAAAAAAATTAATTTTCTTTGAAGGAAAAATTAACTCAAATCAAATTATAAACACCCTAATTGTTGTGATTTGAAGTGAATGTATCATAAAATAGTTTGAATCAATCTTACTAATTAAGGCCCAAAAGATCTCAGCCCAGCCTATGTCCTTTGTAATGAGGGCCCATCTCATGATTTCTAAATTATAAATAAATATGTATAAATTATAGGAACCACATATTATAAGTACTAAATAACATCCTATCCCTTCTAGTTTTCTATTTACCAAAAATCCCTTAAAAATGATGTTTGCGGGGTACATAGCGTTGTGCACGGGATACATTAGGTTTGATACATTCCACATAGCGGGATACATAGCGTTGTGCACGGGATACATGCGGGATACATAGGTAAATAAGGGATTTTTGAAATAAGTAGGGATAAATGGATATGAAGGTAAGTAAAAGAGTGTAGTTAAGTAATTTGTCCAATAAATAATAGAAAAAATGAGAATTTTACACAAATCTCATAGTGTGAAAAATTAATTACATTATATTCCTACTCTTTTTCAAATTACAAAAATTTCTTAAATTTGGTGGAATCCGGATACATCCCAAAATGTCCCGATATATCACATCCCGATTTCGGATACATCGTTCAACGTCCTGATACATCGCGTCTTAATTTCGGATACATCACTCAACGTCTCAATACATCACATACGTCTCAATACGTCGCATACGTCCCAATATGTCGCATAAATTGATGTATCCGACCGATACATCGTGTAAAGTGATGTATTAGAAAATAGAAGAGAGTAGGAATTTTTGTAATTTTTACAAATTGTAGTAAATTTTAGAGAATATGGTAAAATAAGTTGTGTATTTAGGTATTTTTTCCAACAAGGACATTTCAAATAATGAATATGTATGATTTCAAATTTATTTAAGCACTAACATTATAATTTACTCTTAAATTTATATCTATTTACGTAGTCATAAAACGTATCAACTAACATTTCAAGGGCAAATATATCATTTTGCCTTGCTCGTAAAATAAAATATATTTTTTCACGGGATATGTATAAATCAGAAATAAAATACTACTAGTTAGGGGTGTTCATGGTTTGGATAAAAACCGATCCAAATAGAAAAATCAAACCAAACCGATTTAATTTGGATTTTGGTTTGGTTTGGTTTTAGATTGTTAAGAACCGATAGTCATTAGTTTGGTTATGGTTTTGTTCAGAAAAAATTGAAAAAATAACTGAACCGAACCAACAAGTTATATACATAAATTTTATTATTATACATTACATAATATACTATATTCATAAACAATTTTAAAGATTTTATATATGTTTCATCAAAAATTATTTATAATTTACTTGTAAAAAGAAAAAATGTCCAAGGTGAGAACATTTTTCTTATTGGTTTCATGTATATGAGTGTCTATGGAAATTCATTGTGGGACTGAAAATGTCATTGTCTCTTCCTTTTATGCCAAAATAGTGAATTTTGAAGTTTTATTCAGTAAATTCAATGATCCAAAGTTCTGTAATGCCAGTCATTTTAACTATTTTTTCGTTTGAATGGATTGTTGTCACTTTTTTCACGTTTTGAATGAATTGTTTCTTTTATTTTTATGTATGGTTAATAACCGAATAGCCGAACCAAACCAAACCAAAACCGAAAACAACTAAACCAATAAATGTATATTATATTTGGTTTGGTTTTGATAATTTTAAAACCGATTAAGTTGGTTTGGTTTTGGTGTTGACCAATAACCGACCCAAACCAACCCGTGAACACTCCTACGTAGTATATATTTCTTTCTTCTATTTTTACTTGTTCATTTTGTACTTTGCACGTCATTTAAGAAATAATAATTGATGTGAATATTTTATCACAATATTTAGTATTAATTTAATTAATATTTAATATCAATTCTTGAAAAATGGTTTGGATATTAAAGCTTAAATGCTAACGGTAAAACGATTTTTTTTTTTTTGTATTTTTTAATATGTTAAAAGTAACAATTTAAAGTAAAAAATTAATTTATTTTTAAAATAATGAATTAGTAATTGAACGGAATAAGTACTAGGTCAGTGTGATTGATTTGTAGAAAAATCTCTTTTTTTTAACATCTTAGTATTTATTATTTTCTTCTTGGTTATACATATATTTTCTGTTCCAATTTATGTGACTTACTTCCCTTTTTAGTCAATTTCAAAAAGAATGTCACATTTCTATATGAAGTAACAATTAACTATAAAATGTCTATTTTACCTTTAATGAAATGATTTACAGCCACACAAATTTCTATCATTTCATTTTGTACCACGAGTTTTAAAAGTCTTCCTTTCTTTCTTAAACTTTGTGCCTATTCAAACTACCTCACATAAAATGAGACTGAGAGAGTATTGATTTTTAGAGTTTTAAAGAGGAGACTCTAAAAACTATGATCAGTACAATTCATCTAAATTGAGATGATTCTTAACTCAACTTAATTTGACTTGTTTAATCAATTCAACTTATCTAATTTGAGCTGATTTGACTTAAATATTGTTGGGTTTTAAAAGATGTGAATGGAAAATGAAGAGTTGTGACTTTGATGAAAAGTTGCGACTATTATGAAGAGTTGTGACTTTTATCAAAAGTTACGACATTTATGAAAAGTTGTGAATTTTATGAAAGGTGGTGACCTTTCCGAAAGATTGTGACTTTTCAAAGGTTTGTGACCTTTCCGGTAAGGCACAATAAGAACCTTTTCACACTACTATCTGTTTTCTATAAATTGAGGGATTTTCTCTCATTTTGAAAGAACCAATTTCTGGACTTCTTCTTCTACTACTAAATCTAGTATTCTAAGTGTACTTTACTGCCGTTGAGTGGCTCGCTGACACCAGCGTTTTGGGTATCAATACACTGGTGATTGAGATCATTCTATCCTGGGAGGACATATTCCAAATCAAACCTCGGATACTAGAGGAGAATAATTTCCTTAAGGGGACACTGTGCATTCAGTGGGCTTGATCTTCTTTCTGTTTTTCCAGATTCTGGTATGTGTTAAAGATTTTAGATTTGTGAATTAATTTATGTTCTTATGTTCTTCACTGGTTCATTAAACTTTGGTAACTTCGTGTTTCTGCAAAGTTTGTTGGAATCAGTAAGATTCTTTAAACACAGATTGACAACAATTCTTCTTTAAGAAAAAATATTTCGTATATTTTTTCTAATCTGTTTCTGATTCTAGTTTCTCTACTAGTTTTAATTTTCTAGTTGTGAAAATGTTCTTAAACTTTATTGTGTCGTACCAAGTTCTTCAAAGTTTTGTTCTAAGTATCTTAGGAATATAAGATGAACAACAAATATGAAACACAAAGTGATGATTCATGATTATTTTTTTTGTCAAAAATATATTTTGAAAACAAATGGAGTATGAATTCTTCACAACTATTTTAGGGGTTTGAACACACAACTTTAGCTTGACACATTACTTCGTTATTACTGAGTCATCAATCTGTTTTGTTAAGATGTTTACAAGTTATACATACATATTTATTTAATTTTCTAATACAAATACATGATCTGAAAAAGCTAATGGATTCGTCCGAACCCACGAAACCCTACTTAGTCCCGCCCAAGTGATTGTTCTTGCTGAAGCTATTTCAAAACAATTAATTTTTTATTATAAGCAGTAAATATATTATTCGGACAATAAAAAAATATAGTAATAATTAAGGTTGACATTCTTCAGAAGGAGCCAAGTGCTTGTCAAATTTTACCTGTAAATAATGTAACCTAAACACATATAATGTGTATGTGACATAGGAAAAACATGTATTGTTTAAGGATAAACTTCAATTAAAGACCTTAAACCAAGAGAGGTTATTATTTTGTATCCACTAAAACCAGCTTCTAGAAAGAGTTTTTCCCATTCCTTCTTACTTCTCTCTTTGGAAGCATAACTAATCCTCATTAATACGTCCATCAAGTGTTGTGATTGAACAAGCTGCTCATTATTGCTACAATTATCCTCCATTACTATGTCTATGATTATCACTTTTCCTCCCTTTTCCTTGCTCGGAATTGATTCTTTGCATTTCTTCAGTATCTTCACACAATCGTGATCACTCCAACTATGCAAAATCCACTGTTATACCATAAAATAACGATTAATTAACTTGTAATTAGATATGAATATTTCAAAGAGGCATATGTAGACAACCTAAAAACACCCCTCTACTTGTTTTAAAGTTACTTAATTAAGTAGAGAGGTGTTTTTAAAGCAGTCAGTAGTTGGAGGACTAAAGTAATAACTTTTTTTTTTTTTTTTTTTCCAAATCCATCTGTGATGGAGGGGTTTAGGCGTAGCCCCAACCTGTGCATTGCTTCAAAAGATCACACTTACTTAGAAGTAATAACTGACACCAAGCTTAGAAGTGTTTTCTTGAATAACATTATTGAAAAATATGGAATAACACGTACCTTGAGAAAGATTGCATTAGCATGAGGAATTTTATCAAACATATTCCCAGCAACAAACTCCAAATTTTCAGTTCCCCTTCGATCACCTATAACATGAGGGAGATCAAGCACAATGCATTTCAACCTTGGAAAAGCTCCGGCGATAGCCATCGCCACGGTGCCAGTGCCACCTCCAACGTCAACCAACGAGGTCAAGCCCTCAAAAACACCAGCACAACAATCAGAAATCAACAAATTGGAGATCAATCTCGAATCACTAGCCATTGCATCGTTGAAAACACCACTAAATTCTGGTTCTTCGGAGCAATAATCCCAAACGGATTTCCCGTGTGCCGTTTCAAAGGCAGTGGGGAGATCGTCCCGTAACCAATCGCTCATGGAAGCTACTATTTTCAGCAGAACGGGATGTTGGAAGAGAATGAAATATAACCTCTTACTAGAGGGGTCATTTTCAACAAGGAGACGACCAACATTAGTGAGTGAATAGCCGTCTCCTTGTTGTTGGTGATAGTTGAAAACGCCAAAATCAACTAAAGCTCGCATTAAAATGGGGATAAAGGTAGTTTTTGAAGGGTTCAAATTTGGCAAAGCGGCAATAAGATCAGAAAGAGACATAATTGGAGTGACATTTTTGTAAAGAATATCAGAAATTCCTAATTCAATTGCGCATTTTATACACAAAGGACGCAAATAACTCAAAATGTAATCCCAACTTTGAGCTTCAGCTTCGATTAGCTCACCAGCGCAAATGTTTTTGTTATTGAGCATTGTACCATTTAATTAATTAATAGCAAGAGCAAAGCGTTAATTAATAATTTAAGATATGAATAAGTATAGATACACTTTTATAGAGTGTAATGATTAATTTATGATGCAGATTTAGCGCTACTAGGATTAGCCATTAAAAACAAGTACAAACCTACACTATATAGATTACTCCATTATTTGCTTTAAAATCAACAGAAACTTAAGCTTAAAAAAATTATTTATTTTATAAGTAATTCAACACTTAAGTTTAGTTTTTTAAATTACTATACCTTTTATATTCTTTTTATTTCAATATAAATGAATTTTTTACACTCCCTATTGTCCAAAATGAATAAATTTTCAAAGTCCATGGATGTATTATTATTATTTTTCTCTTCAAATCATCCTTTTATTTAATATATTTGCATTGATCATAGCTCTAATTTTAAGAAAAGTTTGGCAAGAAGCAAAATGGTCTATTTAGGAGATTTTAGCTCTTTCGAGCATCTTCTTTTGTCCAAAATACACATTTTATAGAATAGCTTAACTAAATTAGCTTTATTGACGATGTTTTGATATTCTAAATGTGATAAATAATAGTCTAGCACTACTTATGTATTTTTTTAAAGCTAAAAGTATTAGTTTATGTAGTTATTTACCATTAAATGTAATATGGAAAAAACGTAATAAGTCTTTCTTAATTTGCTAAAATAGACAAGTAAAATAAAACATCGACTTTTGTATAGAGGTCGGATAAAATAATACCGAGTGAATACTTTATAAGGTATCTCATTAACATTTGGACTTAGGACTAATTATCTTTAAATTTTCTAAAATTAACATCTATTTATAATACACTGAAAAAGTAGATATAGGAAGTACTATACTATTATAGTGAGAGATCAAGTCTATTTTTACATGGACACATAAAAGTCAATACATAGATAGTCCCAAAAATTGTTAACAACTGTTACTTTGACATTATAACTTGGAGGTGTTTTTATTGCACACTCCATTTTAAATTTTTTCATTCAGTTTTATTTATCCAATATTTTAAATAATCAATAAAAGAACAAAAGTTGATTTACTTTGGTTTTAGTGTTTAAAAAAATCAACTTAATTGATTTGATTTTTTTCTTTTGGGAATTTTGTTTTATTCAAACCAAACCATATACTCCCCTAACTGTTGTGATTTGATCCATCATAAAATGGTTGAAATCCACCTTTCTAATTGAGGCCCAAAATATGTTAGCCCATGTCCTCTGTAATTAGGGTCCATCTTATGACCTTTACAAATAAACAAGGGAAAATTACATGGAAAGACCATCCTTAAGACTTAACTACATAAATAATAGTACTTTTTCAATATTACAAATATGAAAGTTTTTTTTACATATATAGCAGTTTAAAGAAGTTGAAAAGATAATAATAATAATTATTAATATATATAGATATATTAATTATTAAATCCAAAAAGAGTACAGTTGGTTCCCACTATTGGGTAGTTATCAAATTTTGTACGGTTGGTTCCCACTATTGGGTATCAAATTTTGCATTTCTTCTTATATAAGCTTACATTATTGTTTTTTCACATAGTTCAGGTAGGAATTTTATAGGAACAATGTTATTGAGTTTCATTTGATTATTTTTGTACGTAGTTTCGATAAGCTTCATATTTGGTAGTAATTGATGTACATTGTTTCTTTTATACACAGTAGTTAGAAATATTCTAAATGTGATAAATAATAGTCTAGCACTACTTATGTATTTTTTTAAAGCTAAAAGTATTAGTTTATGTAGTTATTTACCATTAAATGTAATATGGAAAAAACGTAATAAGTCTTTCTTAATTTGCTAAAATAGACAAGTAAAATAAAACATCGACTTTTGTATAGAGGTCGGATAAAATAATACCGAGTGAATACTTTATAAGGTATCTCATTAACATTTGGACTTAGGACTAATTATCTTTAAATTTTCTAAAATTAACATCTATTTATAATACACTGAAAAAGTAGATATAGGAAGTACTATACTATTATAGTGAGAGATCAAGTCTATTTTTACATGGACACATAAAAGTCAATACATAGATAGTCCCAAAAATTGTTAACAACTGTTACTTTGACATTATAACTTGGAGGTGTTTTTATTGCACACTCCATTTTAAATTTTTTCATTCAGTTTTATTTATCCAATATTTTAAATAATCAATAAAAGAACAAAAGTTGATTTACTTTGGTTTTAGTGTTTAAAAAAATCAACTTAATTGATTTGATTTTTTTCTTTTGGGAATTTTGTTTTATTCAAACCAAACCATATACTCCCCTAACTGTTGTGATTTGATCCATCATAAAATGGTTGAAATCCACCTTTCTAATTGAGGCCCAAAATATGTTAGCCCATGTCCTCTGTAATTAGGGTCCATCTTATGACCTTTACAAATAAACAAGGGAAAATTACATGGAAAGACCATCCTTAAGACTTAACTACATAAATAATAGTACTTTTTCAATATTACAAATATGAAAGTTTTTTTTACATATATAGCAGTTTAAAGAAGTTGAAAAGATAATAATAATAATTATTAATATATATAGATATATTAATTATTAAATCCAAAAAGAGTACAGTTGGTTCCCACTATTGGGTAGTTATCAAATTTTGTACGGTTGGTTCCCACTATTGGGTATCAAATTTTGCATTTCTTCTTATATAAGCTTACATTATTGTTTTTTCACATAGTTCAGGTAGGAATTTTATAGGAACAATGTTATTGAGTTTCATTTGATTATTTTTGTACGTAGTTTCGATAAGCTTCATATTTGGTAGTAATTGATGTACATTGTTTCTTTTATACACAGTAGTTAGAAAATGGCGAAGGAAGATTCATCAACTGAAATGGAACTACACGATGAATTTGTTGAGACGGTAACACCCGTTGGCGAGCCTAACTTTCGTTTGTTGTCTCCAACACCTGTGTCCCATTCAAACTGTTGTAACATTCAAAGTGGTAGTGTTTTGCCACTACCGACAGTTGATCATAGTGTTGTTGATCGACGGAAGGAGGAGAGGTCAAAGGAGTACCTGAGAAGGAGAAAGTTGGACGAGATCAAAAAAGGAAAATCTATTGCATTTGATCTTGAAGATCAAGGTCGGAGTGTGAACGTCAAAAGGAGAAAATTTATTGAAGTTGCACCACAAAAATCTAAATTGAAGGTATTGTATTCATGAGACTTAAGGCGTTACAAAGTATTTTGTAGTTTTAATTTTTTTTTATTTATTAAACTTCGAGAATTGTTTAGTAATATCCACCAAGAAGTGTATGTTACTTTATTAGGAGTGAATTGTCTTTATGCACGAATTATCCTTCTACGTGCATATGCTCTATAAGAGCATATTAATTGCAGCCATATAACTTTTATACTATTGTCACTGTTAGTTCTAAAATTTCAACTTTGTATTGTGCAGAATTGGGAATTATATTTTGAAGTTGGCAAACATAAAAAACCTAAGCTTGGCGCTCCTAATCTAGATTTCGTCAAATCGTTTGAAGAGAAGTTGACCAAGAGTCAGTTGCAAATATTTAGTGACACTTGTTTTGGATTTTTTCTCAAATTACCTCCAGTGATGATTCAAACACAATTGATACATTCCTTATTGATGATGGAGGTTGTTCAAGAAAAAACTGATGAGATTTGGCTACTAGTGAATGGTTCATTGATACATTTTGGGTTAGGTGAATTTGCCATTATGACAGGACTAAAATGTAATGGAGTGGCACACAAAAATTGTAATTCATGGAAAAAAAATAACTTGATTGATCGTTGTTTTGATGGCATTAAAAAGATTACTGTTCAAACAATAGCTGATTTTTTTAAAGGTAAACATTGGACAATTGATCAAGATGCTGTCAAAATTTCGATTCTTCATTTTATTAACACATTTTTGTTGTGTGACCTCCCTGAAAATAAAGTACCCAATTGGCATTTTGAAGTGGTCGAGTCTGGTGAGTATGAAACTTATCCGTGGGGAAAATTAGTATTTCATGAGACCTTTGCATCCTTGAAAAAAGTTTTAAGAGGAAAGATAGGAAAGAAATTTAGTAAATTGTATGGACTTCTTTTAGCATTTCAAGTTTGGTTTTATGAGTGTTGTGCGCAATTAAATGAACAATTTGCTATTATGATTGGAAAAAGGATCCCACGAATTTTAAGTTGGAACGTGTTATATAGCCCAAATTCAACCAAGGTTTCAGAGATGTTGTCTGCCACAAAGGTGATTTTTTCTTATACTTTATGAACTGCAACTATGACTAATTATATGCTTAATTTGTATTGTTGTTAAATTACTATGTAGTTGAAGGTGAGGAATATTTCTGCAACTCCTTTTGAGAAGTCTGCGATGAATTTGAATGATTTAGTTGGCGACGTTGTGGTGAATGATGAATCAAATGGAGTTGAAGTTGCAAGTCAATTAGTTGATGACGACTTTAGTACTACACCACCTCCTGTCTCGAGCAAAACGAAAAACAAACCTAAAT